TTATCTTCTTGATGTGGAGTTGATGCTTTATCGGAGTTCTTCTTCTTGCCTTTGGTGATGTCCTCTCTAGTTCTTGCAAGCTGACCCTTCAGTTGACCGATGCTTCTGAGGCATTGCCTTTTTGTTGACGCAGCTTGCTCATACAGTCTCTCAGTGATGTACTCATTATTTAGTGTGAGATGCTCGAGCAATTTCTCCTGAAGAGAGACGAATTCGGTCCACTCTCCTTCGACGATCTCTTTCTGGCTCTCCAACTCCTCCAGTGTGGTGTCCAAAATATTCCTTTCACACTGGTGTAGTTCTAGTTGAATTTCTGTTAAAGTATTGACCTTGAATCTCAGCTGTCTCATCCTGAAATCTTGAAGACCTGTCAGACCTGTTGATGGTAGTGTGTCTGCCCATGAGGGTCTCTGGTTGACGTACTGGATTTGTTGAGGGTCCTTTGAGAGAGAGAGATCATCTGTTTTGTTGACTCTGCTTTGGGATGGTTCCTGTGTTGATTGGAGGCTCTTTGACTTCTGTTACTGAGGTATCTATCACCTCAGTCTCTTTTTGTTGATTATTTGGATTATTTTCTGCAATCGGAGGAGTAACTGTCTCGTTACTCTCATCCTGTTGAGTGTCTGTGTCTTTCTTCTCGGTTCCCGTCTCCTTGTCTAACATGATAAGTCTGTGTTGGGTTCTGTTGAGAGTCGATTGGTTACCGACTGTTGGGGGGTTACCGACTGTTGAGATTCTGTTGATGCAGTCGATGTTATCGACTGCGATGAGTCCTGGCGGTCGCCTGTTGCTTGGCTCACTGGCCCAAGCGTCGAGGGGCTACGATGATGCACGACCACTACCGAGCACTCACTACAGTCGATGTATTGTCCTCTGGCACTGTGTTTACAACCCCGACTTAGCAGAATCAAAACAAAGAGTCACAATGGCTGTTGATTCACTATCCTGTCCGTTTGATGGCCCGTGTGAACCCCGAAAGTTCGTTACACACGAGGCGTCCCTTTTCACTATTTCACAGTCACTTTTTTCACCTACATGAACCCACATCTGGCTCGAGGGCCCAGTGTTTGGTGAGGAGCTAGGTTTGGGGTGGTTGTGGGGGTGTGATTAGGGGTGAGGCCAGAAAATGAATTCTAACACTGTTTCATAAAATCACGGTTTAATTGTGGGATCGAACCACCTCGTAAAATACTATATACGCTTTATACACTTGTCTCTCAAATTTAGTTCGTTGAGATTCTCAAATGAATAGCTATTGTCTAAATTGATAATTCACTGTTAGTAGTAAGAGGGCATTATTGGCGAATTTCCCACGCTCCCTCCCCCCTTTTTCCGGGAAGTGCACGTGCACGTCCCCCCTCCCCCCACGGCGGCATGCCTTTGAAGAGGCCGTCGGCGCGCTGGGGGGCCCCCTGGGGTGCAGGGCGTCAAAGTTGGGGTCCGAGGGTCACAGGACGTGGGTGGTGGGTGGAAAATGGCCGCCAGATAGAAAATGAGTGGCGGGTGGAAAGTGGGTGGTGGTGATAAGAAATATCTACATAACGCTCAATTTATAGGATTACATAAATTATTTATTCAGAAATTATTCTTATTGTCTAGGATACATAATTTTCTTAATTGTAAAGGATGATGATGATGATGATGATGATTATTATTATTATTATTATTATTATTGATCAATTAATGAAGGTACATAATTTTTTAGTGGAACGCTGATTACAATGTAAAATACCTCTGCCAGATAAGCTCTGAAAAGGTTTACTTAAATTTTTACGATTACAATTTCGGTTTTGAGTAATTTTTTTAAACATTTTCATAATAATGCGATCGTTACGTTTTGTGTCTGAAGAAAATATTTTATGGAAGGATTGTAAAGACCGATCATTGAACAACCAGTGAAGCACAGTAATGCAGTACTGGCCACAAACATCAGACGATATATCTTGGAGTCTTTTCTGGCTCCATTCATATACATGGCAATTTCGCTTAAGACGCTGAGCGATTCTTGTGTCGAAGGGCGGCATTCCGAAGCTGTCGAAATAGATTCCTCGTCCATTTGAACCGAGGTAAACGGCAACTCAGTGGCTTCCTGCTTGGTTGTGGTTATCGGTGTTGATGATGATGGCACAGGGCCGGTAACATGTCCAGGGGATACGGTCAGCAGAGTAGACGCCTCCAATTGATGCATCTGTATGGGGTAGTACCTTCAGGAGCTCAAGTGTATTCATAAGACGATGGTACGCAGGACAATAGTCGTGGCCTTATGACTCGGGTAGAAAAGGTTTATGGTGTGAAACCTGCTCGGTTGTTTGGACGCAACTAACCTAATTATATG